ATTTCTTCTAAAATAAGTTGACGTTAAAAAAAACTTTTGGTGTTCATACGTACATTTGTTTGATTAACAACTGCACAGGACCAAGAAAATTAAACTAACTTCTAAGTCAAAAGATGTCCTGGACTAAACTACTCCTGGACTAAACTACTCCTGGACTAAACTACTCATTTGGTTGGAGGCAGGTGATTCTCTTTATACTGTGCCATTTTATCTCCCCAACCAGTCTCAACCAGTCTCAACCAGTCTTACAGTACTGACGACACAACCAGTCTCAACCAGTCTTACAGTACTGACGACACAACCAGTCTCAACCAGTCTTACAGTACTGACAACACAACCAGTCTCAACCAGTCTTACAGTTCTGACAACACAACCAGTCTTACAGTACTGACAACACAACCAGTCTCAACAAGTCTTACAACACAACCAGTCTCAACCAGTCTTACAGTTCTGACAACACAACCAGTCTTACAGTACTGACAACACAACCAGTCTCAACCAGTCTTACAACACAACCAGTCTTAGCCAGTCTTACAGTACTGACAACACAACCAGTCTTAGCCAGTCTTACAGTACTGACAACACAACCAGTCTCAACAAGTCTTACAACACAACCAGTCTTAGCCAGTCTTACAGTACTGACAGCACAACCAGTCTTACAGTACTGACAACACAACCAGTCTTAGCCAGTCTTACAGTACTGACAACACAACCAGTCTTAGCCAGTCTTACAGTACTGACAACACAACCAGTCTCAACAAGTCTTACAACACAACCAGTCTTAGCCAGTCTTACAGTACTGACAGCACAACCAGTCTTACAGTACTGACAACACAACCAGTCTCAACAAGTCTTACAGTACTGACAACACAACCAGTCTCAACCAGTCTTACAGTACTGACAACACAACCAGTCTCAACCAGTCTTACAGTACTGACAACACAACCAGTCTTACAGTACTGACAACAACCAGTCCCAACCAGTCTTACAGAACTGACAACACAACCAGTCTCAACCAGTCTTACAGTACTGACAACACAACCAGTCTTACAGTACTGACAACACAACCGGTCTTAGCCAGTCTTACAGTACTGACAACACAACCAGTCTTACAGTACTGACAACACAACCTGTCTCAACCAGTCTTACAGTACTGACAACACAACCAGTCCCAACCAGTCTTACAGAACTGACAACACAACCAGTCTCAACCAGTCTTACAGTACTGACAACACAACCAGTCTCAACCAGTCTTACAGTACTGACAACACAACCGGTCTCAGCCAGTCTTACAGTACTGACAACACAACCAGTCTTACAGTACTGACAACACAACCGGTCTCAGCCAGTCTTACAGTACTGACAACACAACCGGTCTCAACCAGTCTTACAGTACTGACAACACAACCAGTCTCACAGTACTGACAACTCAACCAGTCTCAGCCAGTCTTACAGTACTGACAACACAACCAGTCTTACAGTACTGACAACACAACCAGTCTTACAGTACTGACAACACAACCGGTCTCAGCCAGTCTTACAGTACATGGATTGGACACATAGAAACGTGATACCCAAAAATGGAGATTAGACACAGCTCACACACCTATCTCTCTCTCACACACACACACACACACACACACGCAGCTTCCTCTATATATTACCCTGAAGGCAGTGGACAGGTGAAACAGCTTCCTGTATATAGTAACCTGAAGGCAGTGGACAGGTGAAACAGCTTCCTCTATATAGTAACCTGAAGGCAGTGGACAGGTGAAACAGCTTCCTCTATATAGTAACCTGAAGGCAGTGGACAGGTGAAACAGCTTCCTCTATATAGTAACCTGAAGGCAGTGGACAGGTGAAACAGCTTCCTCTATATAGTCACCTGAAGGCAGTGGACAGGTGAAACAGCTTCCTCTATATAGTCACCTGAAGGCAGTGGACAGGTGAAACAGCTTCCTGTATATATACACTGAACAAAAATATAAATGCAACATGTAAAGTGTTGGTCCCATGTTTCATGAGCTGAAATCAAAGATCCCAGAAATGTTCTATACGCACAAAAAGCTTATTTCTCTCACATTTTGTGCACAAATTTGTTTACATCCCTGTTAGTGAGCATTTCTCCCTTTCCAAGATAATCCACCCACTTGACAGGTGTTGCATATCAAGAAGCTGATTAAACAGCATGATCATTACACAGGTGCACCTTGTGCTGGGGACAATAAAAGGCCACTCTAAAATGTGCAGTTTTGTCACACAACACAATGCCACAGATGTCTCAAGTTTTGAGGGAGCGTGCAATTGGCAAAGCTGTTGCCAGATAATTTAATGTTAACTTCTCTACCATAAGCCGCCTCCAACGTCATTTTAGAGAATTTGGCAGTACTTCCAAATGACCTCAGAACCGCAGACCATGTGTAACCATGGCAGCCCAGGATCTCCACATCGTCTGAGACCAGCCACCCGGACAGCTGATGAAACGGGAGTATTTCTGTCTGTAATTAAGCTCTTTAGTGGGAAAAATCTCATTCTGATTTGCTGGGCCTGCTCCCCTGCCCAGTCATGTGAAATCCATAGATTAGGGCCTAATGATTGTATTTAAATTGACTGATTTCCTTATATGAACTGTAACTCAGTAAAATCTTTGAAATTGTTGTATGTTGCGTTTATATTTTTGTTCAGTATAGTAACCTGAAGGTAGTGGACAGGTGAAAAACTAACAGCTTCCTGTCTATAGTAACCTGAAGGCAGTGGACAGGTGAAACTAACAGCTTCCTGTCTATATTATAGTGACCTGAAGGCAGTGGACAGGAGAACCTTTAAACTAAGGCCAGCTGGGTTGACCAGGAGAGGAGAACCTTTAAACTAAGGCCAGCTGGGTTGACCAGGAGAGGAGAACCTTTAAACTAAGGCCAGCTGGGTTGACCAGGAGAGGAGAACCTTTAAACTAAGGCCAGCTGGGTTGACCAGGAGAGGAGAACCTTTAAACTAAGGCCAGCTGGGTTGACCAGGAGAGGAGAACCTTTACACTAAGGCCAGCTGGGTTGACCAGGAGAGGAGAACCTTTAAACTAAGGCCAGCTGGGTTGACCAGGAGAGGAGAACCTTTACACTAAGGCCAGCTGGGTTGACCAGGAGAGGAGAACCTTTAAACTAAGGCCAGCTGGGTTGACCAGGAGAGGAGAACCTTTAAACTAAGACCAGCTGGGTTGACCAGGAGAGGAGAACCTTTAAACTAAGGCCAGCTGGGTTGACCAGGAGAGGAGAACCTTTAAACTAAGGCCAGCTGGGTTGACCAGGAGAGGAGAACCTTTAAACTAAGGCCAGCTGGGTTGACCAGGAGAGGAGAACCTTTAAACTAAGGCCAGCTGGGTTGACCAGGAGAGGAGAACCTTTAAACTAAGGCCAGCTGGGTTGACCAGGAGAGGAGAACCTTTACACTAAGGCCAGCTGGGTTGACCAGGAGAGGACTACTTTCTCCATTCCTCCTCTAGGTCTCATGGCACAGCTCCATATCAAAACGACACGGTACACATTATCTTTCCCAAATAGACCCCTAGCCCCTTCACCCCTAGGCACTAGTGTACTTCTGACAGGATTGGATAAGTGTAACAACAATGTGGCCACATTTCCACCTAGCCCATCAGGGTTGTATTCATTACTAAACACCGTAACAAAATGTATAGCAATGGAAGATGGAAAAAAAGCATTTCTTATTGGAAAAGTTAAAGGTGTTTCAGTCTGTTTTCTTCTGTTCGGTGACTAATGAACATGACCCCGGGACGAGCCACTGTAGTTCCATAAAGTATCACTTCCGTATCCTGTGGATATAATAATAATAATAATAATAATATGCCATTTAGCAGACGCTTTTATCCAAAGCGACTTACAGTCATGCGTGCATACATTTTTTTTTGTGTATGGGTGGTCCCGGGGATCGAACCCACTACCCTTGGCGTTCCAAGCGCCGTGCTCTACCAGCTGAGCTACAGAGGACCAGGGGACCAGGGGACCAGAGGACCAGAGGACCAGGGGACCAGAGGACCAGGGGACCAGGGGACCAGGGGACCAGAGGACCAGAGGACCAGGGGACCAGAGGACCAGGGGACCAGGGGACCAGGGGACCAGAGGACCAGAGGACCAGAGGACCACATATGACAAATAAACGTTTGATTTACTGTTGATACCTATCCAATTCTTTCAGATCTAGTGCTTTCTGTGGTTCTCCCCTCACCTCCCCAATCACCAGTACCCAAAATACACCCTACTACCTCTATGGTACCAATATGGTACGTTGCCCACAGGCACAGATCTGAGACCAGTTTTAAGCCTACCCCTCAAAGGGATGGTGCACCATTTTGGCAATAAAGCCCTTTAACTACTTACCCAGAGTCAGATGAACTCGTGGATAAAAAAATATCATGCCCCCAGTGTAGTTTAAAGGAAGTTGAAGTAAGTTTTGTGAGCCTTTGATAACTAGCGTTAGCGTAATGACTGGAAGTCTATGGTATCAGCTAGCTGATTGCGCTAACGCTAGCTGATCCCATAGAACAGGGATCATCAACTAGATTCAGCCGCAGGATGATTATTTCTTGAGCGGATGGTCAGGAACATAATCACACATAATTTGTAGACTGCAAATTGACCGCAAGACGCCCAAACAGACATATACATTGACTAAAACATTATCATTTCAAACCTTGCTTACATTTGTATATGATCACATCTATCTCTCTATTATGAGTGAGAATACTTTGGAACAGATTTCCAAAATCAAAATCACTTGGAGCTGATTTTCAGAATTTTTCACAGTCTTTATGTCCAGCAATAAAATAACTTCCGGGGGCCAAATAAAATCGGGACGCCAGTTGAGGAACCCTATCATAGACTTCCAGTCATTGCCAAAACGTCACACTATCCCTTTAATGATTACAATTATATTTTGGGAGGGAAAAACTGGTCCTAGATCAGTGTCCAGGGGCAACTTCTCCCTGGGGCCTATAACAGTGTGCAGGCATTCTTCTTGGCACGTTTCTTGGCCTGTAGCGCCGCCCTGGTGGCCATCTCGAACACCTCCCTGACTCCGTCCTTGGTCTTGGCTGAACATTCCTGGTAGCCGTATGCACTGATCCTGTTAGCCATGTCTCTGCCCTCCTCCGACTTCACTGGCTCCTAGATAGGGGAAGAGAGAGAGAGAAATACATATTTTGTTTAGAGAGAGGGAGACGGGGAAGAGTTGACCTGTCCATCACACACACACACACACAGGTTTCATCTTGGAGAGAGAGACAGAAGATGTCTCTGCTACAGGGAGAAGGGTGTGACGGCCGGCCGACCAACAACCTGCCCGCTTGACCCTATCCCCTCCTCTCTTCTCCAGACCATTTCCGGAGACCTTCTCCCTTACCTCACCTCGCTCATCAACTCATCCTTGACCGCTGGCTATGTCCCTTCCGTCTTCAAGAGAGCGAGAGTTGCACCCCTTCTCAAAAAACCTACACTCGATCCCTCCGATGTCAACAACTACAGACCAGTATCCCTTCTTTCTTTTCTCTCCAAAACTCTTGAGCGTGCCGTCTTTAGCCAACTCTCTTGCTATCTCTCTCAGAATTACCTTCTTGATCCAAACCAGTCAGGTTTCAAGACTGGTCATTCAACTGAGACTGCTCTTCTCTGTGTCACGGAGGCTCTCCGCACTGCTAAAGCTAACTCTCTCTCCTCTGCTCTCGTCCTTCTAGACCTATCCGCTGCCTTTGATACTGTGAACCATCAGATCCTCCTCTCCACCCTCTCCGAGTTGGGCATCTCCGGTGCGGCTCACTCTTGGATTGCGTCCTACCTGACAGGTCGCTCCTACCAGGTGGCGTTGGGAGAATCTGTCTCCGCACCACGTGCTCTCACCACTGGTGTCCCCCAGGGCTCAGTTCTAGGCCCTCTCCTATTCTCGCTATACACCAAGTCACTTGGCTCTGTCATATCCTCACATGGCCTCTCCTATCATTGCTACGCAGACGACACACAACTAATCTTCTCCTTTCCCCCTTCTGATAACCAGGTGGCGAATCGCATCTCTGCATGTCTTGCAGACATATCGGTGTGGATGACGGATCACCACCTCAAGCTGAACCTCGGCAAGACGGAGCTGCTCTTCCTCCCGGGGAAGGACTGCCCGTTCCATGATCTCGCCATCACGGTTGACAACTCCGTTGTGTCCTCCTCCCAGAGTGCAAAAAGCCTTGGCCTGTCGTTCTCCGCTAACATCAAGGCGGTGACCCGATCCTGCAGGTTCATGCTCTACAACATTCGGAGAGTACGACCCTGCCTTACACAGGAAGCGGCACAGGTCCTAATCCAGGCACTTGTCATCTCCCGTCTGGATTACTGCAACTCGCTGTTGGCTGGGCTCCCTGCCTGTGCCATTAAACCCCTACAACTCATCCAGAATGACGCAGGCCGTCTGGTGTTCAACCTTCCCAAGTTCTCTCACGTCACCCCCCTCCTCCGCACACTCCACTGGCTTCCAGTTGAAGCTCGCATCTGCTACAAGACCATGGTGCTTGCCTACGGAGCTGTGAGGGGAACGGCACCTCCGTACCTTCAGGCTCTGATCAGACCCTACACCCAAACGAGGGCATTGCGTTCATCCATCTCTGGCCTGCTGGCCCCCCTACCTCTACGGAAGCACAGTTCCTGCTCAGCCCAGTCAAAACTGTTCGCTGCTCTGGCACCCCAATGGTGGAACAAGCTCCCTCATGACGCCAGGACAGCGGAGTCACTCAACACCTTCCGGAGACACTTGAAACCCCACCTCTTTAAGGAATACCTGGGATAGGATAAAGTAATCCTTCTACCCCCCCTTACCCCACCCCAAAGAAAAAAAAAGAAAAGAAAAAAAACATATTGTAAAGTGGTTATCCCACTGGCTATAAGGTGAATGCACCAATTTGTAAGTCGCTCTGGATAAGAGTGTCTGCTAAATGACGTAAATGTAAATGTACCTGTTTCATCTTGGCCAGCTCCCTGCGTGTGTGTTCATCGTTCCTCAGGTCCTTCTTGTTGCCCACGAGGATGATGGGAACATTAGGACAGAAGTGTTTCACCTCCGGAGTCCACTTCTCTGGAATGTTCTCTGGAGGGAGAGAGACATGTTAGTGGGTGGGTGTGTCGTGTTCAGCTAACTCCTCTGACTCTGTGTCATTAGTCGCATGTACATACTATACACCAGAGGGATTGAACTCTGACCCTACGAGGTCCGGAACCTGCTGCTTTTTGGTTCTACCTGATCATTAATTATACCCGCCTGGTGTCCCAGGTCTAAATCAGTCCCAGACTAGAGGGAAACAATAGAAACCCACCTGGTGTCCCAGGTCTAAATCAGTCCCAGACTAGAGGGAAACTGGCTTGGCGGTGCTACACCGTCCTGCTGTGTGTGGTGTGTGTTACCTAAGCTGTCGGGGCTGTCTACAGAGAAGCACATGAGTATAACGTCGGTGTCGGGGTAGGAGAGAGGCCTCAGTCGGTCATAGTCCTCCTGTCCTGCTGTGTCCCATAACGCTAACTCCACCTGGGGGAGGGAGGGAGAGGGGAGAGAGAGAGAGAGAGAGAGAGAGGGGAGAGAGAGAGAGGGGAGGGGAGAGAGGGAGGCCAGGAGGATGAGATAGAGGGGGAGTGGAGGTGATAAGAGTAGGGAGATATGGAGGGAGGCAGGTGTGGGATGAGAGAGGTAGGGAGGCATTGGTAATATAATGAGTAGGCAGGGTGTAGAGAGAAGGTTGATTTTGATGGGAGAGGAGAGAGGGGGGAGAGAGACACATTTACAGTGCATTTGTAAAGTATTCAGACCCCTTGACTTTTTCCACATTTTGTTACGTTACAGCCTTATTCTAAAATTGATTAAATTGTTTTCTTCCCACATCAATCTACACACAATACCCCATAATGACAAAGCAAAAACAGGTTTTTAGAATTGTTGGCTAATTTATAAATAAAGAAATTTACATTTACATAAGTATACAGACCCTTCACTCAGTACTTTGTTGAAGCGCCTTTTGAGGTATGACGCTACAAGCTTGGCACACCTGTATTTGGGGAGTTTCTCCCATTCTTCTCTGCAGATCCTCTCAAGCTCTGTCAGGTTGGATGGGGAGCGTTGCTGCACAGCTATTTCCAGGTCTCTCCAGAGATGTTCGATCGGGTTCAAGTCCGGGCTCTGGCTGGGCCACTCAAGGACATTCAGAGACTTGTCCCGAAGCCACTCCTGCGTTGTCTTGGCTGTGTGCTTAGGGTCGTTGTCCTGATGGATGGTGAACATTCACCCCAGTCTGAGGTCCTGAGCGCTCTGGAGCAGGTTTTTAATCAAGGATCTCTCTGTACTTTGCTCCGTTCATCTTTGCCTCGATCTTGAATAGTCTCCCAGTCCCTGCCGCTGAAAAACATCCCAACAGCATGATGCTGCCACCACCATGCTTCACCGTAGGGATGATGCCAGGTTTCCTCCAGACATGACGCTTGGCATTCAGGCCAAAGAGTTCAATCTTGGTTTCATCAGACCAGAGAATCTTGTTTCTCATGGTCTGAGAGTCTTTAGGTGCCTTTTGGCAAACTCCAAGCGGGCTGTCATGTGCCTTTTACTGAGGAGTGGCTTCCGTCTTGCCGTTATACCATAAAGGCCTGATTGGTGGAGTGCTGCAGAGATGGTTGTCCTTCTGGAAGGTTCTCCCATCTCCACAGAGGAACTCTAGAGCTCTGTCAGAGTGACCATCGGGTTCTTGGTCACCTCCCTGACCAAGGCCCTTCTCCCCCCGATTGCTCAGTTTGTCCATGCGGCCAGCTCTAGGAAGTGTCTTTATGGTTCCAAACTTCTTCCATTTAAGAATGATGGAGGCCACTGTGTTCTTGGGGACCTTCAATGCTGCAGAAATGTTTTGGTACCCTTCCCCAGATCTGTGCTTCGACACAATCCTATCTCGGAGCTCTACGGACAATTCCTTCGACCTCAAGGCTTGGTTTTTGCTCTGACATGCACGGTCAACTGTGGGACCTTACATAGACAGGTGTGTGCCTTTCCAAATCATGTCCAATCAATTGAATTTACCACAGGTGGACTCCAATCAATTTGTAGAAACATCTCAAGGATGATCAATGGAAACAGGAAGCACCTGAGCTCAATTTCGAGTCTCATAGCAAAAGGTCTGAATACTTATGGAAATATGGTAAAAACCTGTTTTCACTTTGTCATTATGGAGTATTGTGTCATTATGGAGTATTGTGTGTGGAGATTGCTGAGGATTTTTATTTATTTAATCAATTTTAGAATAAGGCTGTAAAGTAACAAAATGTGGAAAAAGAAAAGGGGTCTGAATACTTTCCGAAGGCACTGTACATAGACATTTTAGTCAGTTAGCACAGTGGTTCCCAAACTTTGGGGCGCGCAGTTATACATTTTTATTATTGGAAACTCAGTCCAGCTTTCAACTTACTCTTGATAGTTGTAATAGTAGAACGCAAAAGCTGCAATTTCGTAGAAATTTTGTAGAAAGCTGCAATTTCGTAGAAGTAATAGTAGAACGCAAAAGCCCCCCCCAAAAAATTAAAAATAAAATAAAAATAAACAATTGTAAAGTGGTTATCCCACTGGCTATAAGGTGAATGCACCAATTTGTAAGTCGCTCTGGATAAGAGCGTCTGCTAAATGACGTAAATGTAAATGTAAATGATATTAGTCATTGCAGACCTTAGAGCTATTTATAACTTGTCAGAAACGTCCAGATCAACTAGTCCATGTCAGCTAACGTTTTTTAGCCCATAGATTTTGTAGTAATGTTCGAGTCACTCAAATATCACATGAATACACATTAGACATTGCTAAATCAGCCCCACCCCACTTGTTGGCGGATACATTTTGCAGGTTTAAAGCTTATTTTCTTCAATTCTACATATTTTGTCAAGGGGTGCAGATACATTTTTGCAGTTTTAAAGCTCATTTTCTTGCAATTCTATTGATTTTGCCGACACTCTTATCCAGGGAAGTTAGTGCATTCATCTTAAGATAGCTAGGTGGAACAACCACAAACCACATATCTCAGTCAGAGTAAGAAACGTTTCAGCAAAATCAGTGCTAGTAGGGATTAATTTTAAAGTCAAGTGCGTGTGTTACTTCACGAAAGGGGGTGGAAACATTTATTTTAAAACCCTTCCGGGAAAAACCCTTGGGGTTTGGGAAGGGGGCTTTTAAATTGGGGGCCCCAAAAAAAGAAAAGAAAAAAAACGTTTTTGGGAACAGGATGGGAGGCCCCCTTTTCCCCGGGTGAACCCAGGGGGGAAAAATATTCCAACACAGGGGGAAAAAAGCCCTTGGGAAAACTGGTTTTTCGAGGACACAGGCGGGTTTCCCCAAAACGCCCGTTCCCCAATTCCGTTCCCTGTTTGCGCCCACATATTTTCCCCGAAAAAGGGGTGGGGGGGAAAAAAAGGGGGGAAAAGGGGAGGGGGGGAAAGGGAAAATAAGAGAGGAAAGGGGAAAAGAGATTGGGGGAGGAGGAGAGAGAGGGGGGAGGAGAGGGGGAGAGGAAGGAGAAAGAAAAGGCCCGGGGAGAACGAAAGAGAGGGGGAGGGAGAAGGAAGGGGGGAGGGGGGGGGAAAAAGGGGGGGAAAGGAGAGGGGGGGGGGGAAGGAGGGGGGGAGAGGGGAGGGGGAGGAGATGGGGGAGAGGGAGGGGGGGGAAGAGAGAGGGGGGGGGGGAGGGGGAGGAGAAGGGGGGGAGATGGGGAGAGAGAGAGAGGGGGGAGAGGGGAGGAAAGGGAGGAGAGAGGGGGGGGGAGAGGGAGGAGGGAGAGGGGGGGGGGAGGGGAGGAGAAGAGAAGGGGGGGGGGAGAGGGGGGGGGAAAAGGAGGGGGGGGGGGAAAAGGGGGGAGGGGGAAAAGAGAAAAGGAGGGGGGAAGAGGGGGGGAAAGAAAAGGAGGGGGGAGGTGGAGGGGAGGAGGAGGGGGAGAGGGGGGGGGGAGAGAGAGGGGGGGGGAGAGGGGAGGGGGAGAGAGGGGGGGGGAGAGGGGGGAGGAGAAGAAAAGGAGAGAGGGGGGAGGGGGGAGGGGGGGAGGGGGGGGGTGGTGGAGGAAAGGGAGGGGGGGGGGAGAGGTGGAGGAGGGGGAAGAGAGAGGGGGGGAAAGGGGGGAGGGGAGAGGAGGGAGAGAGAGGGGGGGGAGGGGAGGAGAGAGAGAGAGAGAGAGAGGGGGGGGGGGGGTGGAGGGAGAGAGAGAGAGGGGAGAGAGAGAGAGGTGGAGGAGAGAGAGAGAGGGGGAGAGGGGGGGGGAGAGAGAGAGGAGAGAGAGGTGGAGGAGAGAGAGAGGGGGGAGAGGGGGAGGGAGAGAGAGAGGGGGGAGAGGTGGAGGGAGTGGGGGGGGAGAGGGGAGGAGGAGAGAGAGACGAGGACGAGAGAGATTTCGTTTAAATTTTTATTTTTTATTCATTTTTTTTATATCTATTCCTTTTTTTTTGGCAATGTAAACAATTTTTCCCCTCCCAATAAAGCCCTTTAAATAAAATTGAATGAAATTAAAAGAATTGAGAGAGAGAGACAGACAGAGACGACGATAGATATAACCCCTATATTATCCACCCCAAAATTTTATTTTGTTCTTTTTAATGGGTAACTCACGGGCTGAGCACGGCCGAAGTGATATCCAGACTGAGGCACTTCCTAAGTGTAGGGGTTTTTTTGGGCCGGGCGGGGGGTTTTTTGGTTTTTAGCCCAATAATAAACCTGAACAGATGATTGGGTTTTTTAAATATGTGTATTTTATTTACCCGTATTTTTTTAAAGGGCGGCAGGGGCGAGTTTAAAAGCCCCTGGGCCAAAAATGAAAAAGGGGTTTTGGGGGTTCGAACCCCCAAACCGAAATTGGAAAAATATCTCAAAGTTCACGAGCAAGGCCCCTTTCCCCTAAATCATTGGGAAAGGTCTGCTAGGAAAAATGAAAAGTTCTAGAATGAAATAGGTTCTCTTTTATATGACCAAGAAGGAAAGCTCTTTTATAAGGGGTACATGTTTTTGTAATTTTGTCTAACTTAGCTAGCTAAGACTGGCTTGGCCAGTAACTTACTGCTAGCGTCATTAGTAGATAAAGCTAAAAAAAAAGACAGCGATACCCAAAAAAAAATAACCCCGAAAAAATCAGGTAAACAAATTTTTGTGAGAAACATTTATTTTTTTTTTTTGAAAAGTTGCCAGTTAGAGGTAGTTTTTAGGAAAAGATAAATAAAGGGCACGTTGGGGCCCAAACCCAATTCATTTATAATTTTAAAAAATTGGGTTTGGAGTTAGGGTTGTTAAGGTTAGGTTTAAGGGGTTTTTTTGGTTAGGGTTTAAAGGGGGTTTTTAAAGGTTTGGAGGTAAGGGTGTTTAAGGTTTTGGAGTTAAGGGGGTTTAGGTTTTGGAGAAAGGTCCGTTTTTTCTGGGGTTTTTTTTTAAAGTCAGGGTCCTAATATTATTTTCCAGATAGCCAGCTAGCTTATGCGACAACAAGTTAGCTAGCTTGCTAACGTTAGTGTTTAGTTGTCAAAAACATA